GCCCCGCCGCCGCCGTCGCCGCTGCTGCCGCGCGCTGGGCCGGGCGGAGCCGAGGGAGCTGGAGTCGGGGCCGAGAGGGTCGGGCGCAGGTGCGGTTCCGGGGACCGGCCTTGGCTCTTGCATCGTCTGCCAATGGGTGATGGTGACGGCGCAAATCCCGGGAGGGCAGCGGGGACAGCAGCCTCCTCAAGGGCGAGGGGCAGCGGTCTCCACCGCGGAATCCTGCCCCGCGGCGCGGAGGGGGACTGGGAGATGGGCCGGAACCGGCCGAACCGCGCGGCCAGAGCTTTGGGCAGAACCAGGGGCCGTCCTGGTGGGCGCGCGGGGTGAGGACTAGGACATCGCGGGCAGAGTGGGCGTGGACAGGAGAGGAGTTCCGAGCGCGTTGCCCCACATGTGGCGGGCAGGAGCCCTTCTTGAATGCGGAATTCAAGAGGCAAGATGCTGCTTTTCTGCAGTTCCCAAATTTTCCAGGCCGTCCACTGAGGACTCGGCCCTGGAGGGCTGGGCAGCTCTCACATCCCCGGGTCACCTTCCGTTTGCAAGGCTTTTGATAAGTCAAAAGTTCGGCTTAAAACAAATTGCACAACACGAATTCAAATGAACAAGATAATTAAAAGCTTACTAAATCATCTCGATTCCTTCCTGCCAACAGAGGGCTTTAAATGGCAGATTATGTTGCTTCCTTGGGATACCAAAATCTCAGAAGTTTTGTCATAATTAGGTTTGAGTCCATATTGCTGTAACAATTTTAAGACTGCCCGTGTTGAAAGGGCTGTTTTGACATATTAAGGGGTCCAGGTGTGTTAGGAAGGCTGAAGGAATCAGATATAAAAAGGCAAATTTCGAAGTAATAAAAGGAAATGGCTGGTCATTTCCTGAGACCACCTTCCCGCGGCCTTACAAAAGAACTTTGGGCAGGCACTGCTTGATAGAAACACTGGAGAGTGTCGCCCCAAAATATCTCAGATGCTGGTGCTTAAAATTTCATCCTCAGAGATACTGATTCCTTTGGGGCTTGACGAACCTCTATTAAAATGCAAATTCCCCTTGAAGGGGCAATAGCTCAAGCCTTTATCAGCCAACACCTTAGCAGGGATGGGATTTATTTTCCAATTTAATGGGATAGCCAAAGAATGAAGCAGGGGGTGGAGAATTCCACAGATAAAGTGGCTGACCTCAAAATGTTGGCCTGTGGCCAAGGCTGCCTTCTCTCTGCTCTTATCTCTAACACAACTAAGCCTCAGCCAGGCATTGTTTAGAGCACACAAGCACAAATTCAAATTTCCCGGAGATATTTTCCACCTAGCAGCACTTTTTAAGGGCTTGGAACAATCCCAAAGCATGATCCTGGACTGCCAGGAAGTTATGTTCTCATTGTAGTCACCTCATTCATTCATTCATCCAACAAAAGTTCACCAAGGGCTCTCAGTGCCCCCTGCACTGTTTAAGGCTCTGATCACATCAGTGAACAGAGCAGACAAAATCTCTGCCTTCAAAGTACAAGGAAAGAAATGGACAATAAACATTAAAAAAATGTAAATTACATAGTGTTTATTTACATTATATAGCATAATTATTCAAAACGTAATTTAAGCATGGAGCAACAAAGGAAGAAGAGGAGTCAGAAATAGGAGGAAGAAATGGCATGTGTGGCTAATTGCCTCCATGAAAAACTGCCACCTTTGCCACGAGACCAGAACTGGATGGTGCCTGGCTACATTACTGAATATTTTAATCAAAGATTCTATAGAAGAATCCTGATCAAAAGGGGGAAAAAGAACTATCTATATGGGATCAAACTGATAACAGCAACTCAAACGAATAGATAGGAAATTTGAGTTTATATTAATGGGGGAGAAACAATTCCAAAAAGGAGGGTGAGAGTAGTTGCACAACTCAAAGAATGTAATCAATGTCACTAAATTGTACATGTAGAAATTGTTGAATTGATGTATGTTTTGCTGTGTATATCCTCAACAACAACAAAAAATAAATTATTTAAAAAAATAAAAGTAATTTGAGTACCTGTCATATGCCAAAAACAAAAAACAGTTGTCGCCGAGTAGATTTCAACTCATGCCAACTGCACTCCATAGGGTTTTCACGTCTGTAAACTTTCAGAAGCAGATTTCCAGGCCTTCTTCTGAGGTAGGTTCAAACCTCCAGCCTTTTGGTTAGTAGCCAAGTGCTTAACCATTTACACTACCCAGGGGCTTCTAAAGATATGAGAATGAGCAAAAGCAGACAAGGCTCCTTCACTCAGGAAGCTCTCAGCCTGGCGCAGAAGACGATCGCACATGGATCATTGGTCCAAGGCCAATTGCGACTGGGATGAATGACGTGGAGAAGAGGTGTAGGGTGCCAAAAGGCAGATAATGAGGAGATTTGAAAAGAGCTTTCTGACCACAATATAGAAAATGGATTGAGGGGACCCAAGTGAATGTAGGGGGATCAAATGCTGTTGCTGTAATTTAGGCAAGAGTATTTTGGTGAATGAGGATAGTGGAAATACTGAAAGTCGGATGCATTTGGTAAACGTTAAGGAGGAATCAGTGATGAATTAAATATGGGGGGTGCCGGTTGGAGCACTGTGGGGAGAGTCACCGAATGTTGGAAACCTCCAATGAACTCCCTTTTATGTGTTAGATGAGCTGCCAAAATATATGTAAATCAGTTGCTTTTATCTTCCAATGACACGGGAAGAGAGCTCACATAGCACAGCGGGGTGTTGGTATAGGTGGGTTAGAAGGAGAATCTGCCTTCTCAGTGGAATTTGGTTTGGGAACAGAGAGAGAGACTGATCCAGAAATTAAACTTACTTTGCTGTTTTTCAAATAAATTCTGTATACTAAGGAATTTAAAAATAGGGCTGCATTTAGTGCAGTAGCCAAAATTACCTAGATGAACAATTAGAATTTGGAAATACAAGTAATTATAGTGAGTCAGTTTCATGGAAATGAGTCAGGGAGAGAGGGAAAGGAAGAAGAAGAGAAGGAAGGAGGGAAGGAGGAGAAATAAAGAAGGAAGGAAGGAAGGAAGACAAGAAGGAAGGACGGAAGACAAGAAAGAAGGAAGGAAGACCAGAAGGAAGGAAGACTGGCCAGCCACTGGCCTGGCTCTGATCTGATCTGACAACTCATTGACCCTCTTTGATCCTCAGTGATTGTCTCTTATAAAGGAGTTATAATAATGCATGGAGAGCAGTGGTGCTTCACTGGTAGAATTCTTGCCTTCCATGCAGGAGACTGGGGTTCAATTCCTAGCCATGCACCTTATGTGCAGCCATCATGCATATGTCAGGGGAGGCTTGTGTGTTTCTGTGATGCTGAACAGGTTTTAGCAGAGCTTCCAGGCTAAGATGGACTAGGACGAAAAGCCTGGCAAGTCACTTCCAAAAATCAGCCAATGAAAGTTTTATGGATCACAATGGTCCAATCCACAGCAGCTAACAATAATAACAACAATAATAATACATGTTATTGGAGATTCTTAGAGACTCCAGTATTATGGGTTGAATTGTGTCCTCCCCCAAAAAAGTTATATTGAAGTCCTAATGCCTGCACTGATAAATATGACCCTGTTTGAAAATAAATAGGGATTTTCTTTTGTTATGTTGATTAGGTCATACCTGAGTAGGGTGGGTTCTAAACCTAATCCCTTCTGAATGGTGTCTTATAAAGGGGCATACAGACAGAGAGACAGACACAGGAGAAGACGCCATCTGACGACCAAGGATTGCCAGCAGCTACTAGAAGCTGAAAGAGACAAGGACCTTCTCCTAGAGCCACACCCTGAATTCAGACTTCTGAACTGTGAGACAATACATAAATGTCTGTTCTTTACAGTCACCCACTTGTGGTACTGTTTGTTACAGCAGCATTTGGAAACTAAAACACCCAGAGACCAATTTATAGCAACTTTTCCTTCTCCGTGGGACAGATGGACCTTGAGGCCATTGTTCTTCAGCAGAGCAGGACAAGTAGCTGAACTTTCTTCTAAAAAGTAGGCTGCACTGAGACCAGAAGAACTTGATAGTGCCCAGCTACCACCAATGACCGCCCTGACAGGAGACACAACAGAGAGTCCCTGATGGAGCAGGAGAAAAGTGGAGTGCAGAACTCAAATTATAGTAAAAAGACCAGACTTAGTGGTTTGACTGAGACTGGAGGGACCCCAGAAGACATGGCCTCCGGACTCTCTGTTAGCTCCAAACTAAAACCCATTCCCGAAGCCAACTCTTCAGACTAAGATTAGACTGGACTATGGGGCATCAAATGATACTTGTGAAGAGTGTGCTTCTTTGCTCAAGTAGATACATGAGACTAAATGGACAGCTCTTGTCTGGAGGTGAGATGAGAAGGCAGAAAGGGACGGGAGCTGGTTGAATGGACATGGGAAATCTGGGGTGGAGAGGAGGAGTGTGCTGTCACAGTATAGGGAGAGCAACTAGGGTCACATAACAATGTGTGTATAAATTTTTGTATGAGAAACTAACTTGAAATGTAAACTTTCACTTAAATCACAATTTAAAAAAAAGAGTCAAAAAAATTAAAAAATTTTAACAAAAGCAGGCTGCGTGCACCAAGGGAAGTCGAGGAACACTTGCAAACACCCCTGTCATG